GCGCCGCCCGACCGGGCGGCGCTGGGACCGCGCACCCACCCTGCCCCCGCTTCATTTTCGGTTTAAAACCTGGGGGGGGGAAATCCCCCTTTTGGGGTTTTTAGAGCGCTTTGTGGCTTTTTAAAAAAATTTATTACGTCCCTTTTTAACAAGGGATGCTGGGCAGCGTGTGTGCTCCCTGTCTGTCGTGATGTGCAGCATCTGGCCTCAGCTGCACAAATAAAATCGAACTTTAAATGAGCTCGATGCACACGTTTAAGATCCTCTGGTAGCAGCGGGAATCCTGGCTGTACTGTCCTGTTGTGTGCCATATTTTAATTCAGAGAGGTGTATCTGCTATGTGCAGTATTGGTGAAATATCCGTAGCCCTGTAAGCTGCTGAGTTAATGGTAAAATGGGAGTCTTTGCATATCTTATTTACGGTGGAGTAAAACAGGGACTGAAAATGCCCGACCGTACAGTAGTACACACAGATCCTGCAACACCAATAATAGAGAACCTCTCTGCTGTTCCTAGCCAATGTACATCAGCCACAGCCCCACAGGCTGACTGGAATTACTGACAGCAGTAACCTACCTGACTGTCTTTTGTTCAGCAGGCCTAATTATGCTTAGCAATTTTTATCAGGAGTTGGAAGAAATGACATTCATGTACTTACTGTTCAAAGGCGTGTCTCTTTGTTATCTAGGAATCCAACCGATTGAAGTTCTCCCAGAGTTGGCTTCTGGAGTCATATTTTCTTGGTCATGGCTACTTCTGGTATGTAGTATTATGTACTAAATGCTCTTGTGTCTTTTTTTCTCTTAATTTCCTCAGAAAGAATTTAAAAATCTAATATAGTAAAATAAACTGTCATCACCAAGCTTTTCTCCCATCTCTAGGCTGCTTTTGGAGAAGCTGTTAAAACTGGGTGCTTGTGAAAACATACTGAAAGCCCTCTCAGACTAGGCTGTTAGCAGATGGGCTTCAGCTCATCTGCATGCCATCTGCTCAGTTAACAGAACTGACTATCATCTAGACATCTTGGTGATCAAAACTGGTGTGCTGGTACAACTGACACCGTGCAGGGCTGACGTGCCTGTTGATGGGTGTTTGAAGAGAGAACGCTGGCTTACATATTTCTTTGAAAACTGGTTTCTTTTCTTGGCTATGTCAGGTCTTAGGCAAACACCTTGAAACTCATCCTCAGACTTCTCGTTGGAGAAAGAGGGGGTTTTTTTGTTTTTACATTTGAAGTACTGATAAGATTGTTTTCAGGACCCTGGATATTAAAGGCTAAAATAAAATGTCAGGCACTTGGGTGATGTACTATCAAGGAAGAATTGCAAACAGAATTGCCTGCAACATTTTTGAATGGTGTTGCTGATGCTTAAAACAAAACTATCAGCTCAGATGCTAACTGTCTCCTTAAGTGAGCTTTGTGGCATTGGATTTTTGAAGGCTATTGTTCAAGTTACCTAAGCCAGTTCCTGGCTTAAAGTACTGTTTGTTTGGGTTTTTTTCCCGTGTTCCTAGATATTCAAGTGAAGGAACTGGAAAAGCGTGCCTCTGGGCAGGCATTTGAGCTGATACTCAGTCCCCGCTCAAAAGAAGCAGTTCCAGAATTCCCTCTTTCTCCCCCAAAGAAGAAGGATGTGTCATTGGAAGAGATTCAGAAGAAGTTGGAAGCAGCAGAAGAGAGACGTAAGGTAAATTTGAAACAGCTTAAGTAAGCTCTGTTGTGTGTGGTTTTTTTTAAATTGTTCCTTGGGATAAGTGATTAGCAGTCTATTATGGTAAACGGAATATTAATTGAGCTTTGTTGGAATCTCTGGGGCTCCTATGAACCTTTGTTATGGTCTGCAAGGCCATAGCTTTGTTCCCAAAGTGACCTTGAATGGTCACTTGAAAAACTGGGAGAAAACGTTTAGTTGAGAGGGGATGCTCTTTCAGGATGGAGTTGTTTTTCTTGTCTTTAACATCATACAGATTCATTTTCTCCTAGAAAATGTAGTGCTGAATCTGTAATGAGAAGGTTTGTGAATATGTCTGACTTGATATAAGATCTTGCTGTTGAGATGTAGCTTGAAGCCCTTGACCGTGCAGAGGCTTACTAGTTGAAGTGCAGCCTCCTGTGTGACCTGAATCACAGTGATTCACCATTCTGAGAAGCGAGAATCTTCTAGGAAAGATCTGTCACTGTTAATGTAAAAAAAAAAAAAAAAACCAACCGCCATATTCTTTTTTTCCAGAAAAATCCCATTTAACAAGACTTGCAAGTAATGACAGAAACTTAACTTTCCTGGTAGTTTGTAATGGTGAAAATGTGGGTTATGTGGGTGGGGGAAGCACCAGGGAGCTCTGTCCTGCATCACGATGTTATGCTGTTCTCCAGTAAAATAGCAGAAAATCTCTTCTCTGGGGAGTTGTGGGCAACTCGACTGTAGTTGTCTCTGTAGTTCATCTGTTTTATGTTCAAAGCATGCATCCTCTGTTTTGTTAGTCTCATGAAGCAGAAGTCTTGAAGCAGCTAGCTGAGAAGCGGGAGCATGAAAAAGAGGTGCTTCAGAAAGCAATTGAAGAAAACAACAACTTCAGCAAAATGGCAGAGGAGAAGCTGACCCACAAAATGGAAGCTAACAAAGAAAACCGCGAGGCACAAATGGCTGCTAAACTGGAACGCTTGAGGGAGAAGGTGGGTGTAGAGTCCCCGTTCCCCTTTGGGACAGAGTTTATCCATGCTCCTTACTGTGAAAACTGGCTAAATAAAGCCAAGTGACTGGCCAAGTGAGGGGGGGTACTATGAGTAGATGGGACATCCTTGGGAGTTCTGTGATGGTCTGATCTTGAAAAATTATCTGCAAAAGAATTTGCAGAAATCCTCCTCTTGGGGGAGAGGGGATGGATGGAGCTACAGCAATGTCTCACTCTTCTCTTAGCAAGCTTCATCCTGTAGCCCCTTCAGTAACCCGGAGTCACAGGTTCCTGCTGTGAGCTGGGGGGTGGGAAGCAAGCTGGGGCTTGCTGTGCCAGCCCGGAGCCCTGCCTGTCTGTGCCTGGGCAGCTAACTGCTTCCCTGCTGTTGTCTTTCAGGACAAGCATATTGAGGAGGTTCGAAAGAACAAAGAAGGCAAAGACCCCGGTGAGGCTGAAACTGACTGACTTCATTCTGGAAACTGACTCTCTCCCCCTCCTCTAAATATCCAAAGACTGTACTGGCCAGTGGTTTTATCTTTGTTTTTTTTTAAGTTTCTAGAAACTGATGTAGAACTGTAAAATTAGATCCAAACTGTACACTTTCTTTGGGGGCTAGAGGGGAGACTTTACATGTTTCACTTTTCTAAAGTGTTGTCTTTCCAGTGTAGCTATCTTCTTGTTGCATCCTTTTCTACTCCAGGGCGCTTGCTACTGGGTTGATGGCTAGTACTGTATCAGCTCTGTAAGACATTTGTGAAAGGAATATGTAGATTACTGTTCCATGCTGAATATCTGTTACACTTCAAAAATCTGACTCTGTCCCAGTCTGCTAAAATACTGCTGTAACTGAGTGACTAAATAAAGCTGCACAGTGCTGTTATCATGAGAATTACTTCTAAAAGTGACATGAGAAACAAAATCAGTTGGCTGAGGTCTGCAACAGGCATCTTATCCGGTGCTGGGTGGAAAGGTCTGCAGCAGCACTTTTCCTTACATCCATGGGCATGCTGCGTGACTGCCTTTTCCCCTAGAGCACACTCATTGTCTTAATTTTACAATCAGAGCTTTGTTTTGACACCTCAGCAGTTGTCAGCTGTTGTGTCTTTTTGTTAAAAAGAGTTCAGAACCACCTCCCTTTGGACACTGAGACTTCAACAAACAAGTCCTTGTTACCACATGACTCTGATCTGAGCCTTTTTTTGGTAAGGGTTTCTAGAAGATGACTTGTGCTATTGAATGGTGACTTGTGTACCACTTCTGCAGTGTCAGAAACCTGTTCTGTGCTGGGATCGTGAGCCTCCCCAAATTGAAAATGTCACTGTGGATAAGAATTACTCTGCTGCAGATGTGTTGGGATAGTACACTGTGCCACAGGGTGAGTCTGAAGATAAACTCCTGCCCACAATGAGATGTGTATCATCTATGGTATTTCTGGGGTGTGCGAAATGGATACAACTGTGCTTGTGCTCTGAGGAAAGATGCTTATTAGGTGGATTGGGTACAAAGTTGCTGTGCTGTATGGGTATGTTAAAAAAAACAAAACAAAACAAAAAAAACCAACAAACCCAAACCCTTCCTCTAAGGACATCCACAGGTACTCGTGCTACTCTGCAGCAAAGACAAGGTTGCAATCGGGGTGTGTGAACAGCCACCCAACTTACTCAGTATAAACACTGTTCTGAAGTATTTCACTTCAGTAAGTGCGTTCCCTCAGAGGGAGAAAGCTTTGGGTTTCACAGCTCCTGTTAATGTCAAACACGCAGTAGCACTGGTCTTGGGGAGGCACACTTGGTCCTGTCTTCCCCCTTTTGTGTCCTTGATCTTGAGGCTTGGCTACCAGGTTTGTTTTCAGGTGAACTCCACACCTGGGGCATCTGGCACTGCCTGGGTGACAGACTTGCATCTTCTGAGGATGGAAGAGCTGGTAGGGAATTTTTTTTTTTTTAGGGGCTAATTGAGTCCTGGACCACTTGACCTGTCTTCTGGGGTTTGCTAAGGAAGGAACCTCAGTTTAGAAAGCTTTCATGCATCATATTAACCACTTTTGATTGCATCAGAGTTGTACTTAACCAAAAGCTGATATTACGTTGTTTGAGTGAAAGAACAGCAGTGAGATAAAGCCAGGCTTCGTGCACAGGAAGGCTGCGATCAGATCCTTTCCCTGAAGGGTTTTCAGAAGTGTTATGATACTTCATCATTTAAGGTAAGAGAGACTGTACTTCTACCTGTTGGGGAGCAACCACCCATCTGCAGTGGGGTCATAGTGTGGTTTGGGGGTTTTTAATGGCGTATCAACGTTGTGTAAGACGAGAGCAGGGGATGTGGGTCAGGATCCACCTGGGAAGGTGGTGAGGACAGGGGAATACAGAGCTGCGCTTTGAGACCTGCTACATAACGTGGTTAGGAAAGATGCCGAGTGTCTCTAGTACCACAAAATGGAGGCTTAAGTGATCACTGGTTCAGTTCCCATAGACAAGATCAGCCATAATTAGCAATCAAAAAAAAATTGGCTCTTCATTTTAATGTATTTCTATACCTGCTGAGAAAGGACCAAGTGTCCCAAATACTGTGTGTGGGTTTTCCCCATCTTCTCAAGGGGTGGGGAAGGAGGATGACAGCACTGCTAAACCCCGAATGGTGTTAAGAGCAGAGAGAGACGTTAAATGTGAGTTTTTGACTTGCCAAAGCTGTCAGATCGCAGCTCGGGGCCTTCTGTTCCCTTGTCTCAGTTCTGTTTTATGTGGCTGCCTGTGTTATTCTTAACTGGAGCTTAACGCCCGGGGCCTGAGCTGGGTCTGGTTCCTCTGGGAGCTGCGGGGGGCGAGGGAGGGGAATGAGATCGGAGGCATGCAGATAGCGAGAGGGTGGTAATGATCTGAGAACGGAGTAAGGGGAGGGGGGAAACTAGCATGGAGGAGATGGTGCTCAGGCAGGAAAACAGTAATGCCCTCTCTGGTAGGGAAAGCTGGACTATGGACAGGTTGCTTTAAAAAAAAAAAAAAAAAAAAAAAAAAAAAAAGGACAAAAAAGCAGCTCTGCAGCTGTATTTCCTAGGCTGGGCAGCCTAGCCCGCGGTAGCAGGTTACAAAATAAGCGCTGGCCCTTGTCACAGGTGCGGTGGGGGCAATGGGAGAAGTAACGATTCAAACCAGCTTTTGGGGATGGCGGGGGGGTCGGGACAGAACCCCCACCGGTTTCCTTCATCTCCCCATCTGAGACAGGTCAGTCATTGAGGAGAGAAGCCCAACCCGGATGGAAAACGGCGCATCCTCCGTGCGCTGCCGCCTCCCGGAGCCGGGGACCCTGCCCGGCGGAGCCGCGGGGGGGGTAAGCGGGCACGG